TTACATGAGTAATCTTTTCCGACAAATACATTATTCTTAGAAACTATAAGGCCATCAGACTCAATTACAATCATAAAACCTGCCTTGTTAAGGCGATCCCCAGAAATCAGGTTCTTGGACATTTCAGGCACATGGAGAACTTCTGCCAAAGATAGATTCTTTCCCGAAGTGGATTTCAGTTCAACTGATCCAATTCCATCAACTTTGGCACGAACATTGTTTCCCATTTTTACCTCTCCCCCACCGGTGCATTCGATGAAAAATATCTAACACTGATGTCTTCTCCGATGGTTCAGGATTCACTAGGAAGTTCTCTGGTGAGTCAAAACATTCTGTTCCGACCTTTTTCCATCTTCTTGATCTTTATCCATGTCATTTTCATCATCACTCCGGAAGGACTCCAAGACTTTTTCCTTTCCTTTTATCTTTAAACCTTCAGGTTCCTTGGATATAATTTTGAATTTCATAGAAGTAAATTTCTTTGGTTGTTCTTGGACATTTTGTAAGATATCTTACGCCTCTTTTGCAACAGCATCAAATAGAGCATTTAAATATATGGAATTTCAATCACGATTTTTTAAATTATTACATGTACAAAAAGCATCAATATTTAGACCATCCATATTCCAATGAATATCAAGAGAAGATTTATCACGTTTATTATCACTGAGTGATATCCGACCAAGCAGTAGCAACCATACACTTGTATCAATTGATTTGAGAAAAAAAAAAACCTGATTAGAATTTTCTAATGTTCTTAGTTGGTACAAAAAAAAGGTCTATAAAAAATTCTTATAAAATCCATTACCTAAATTTTCTAATCTCAATTATAAGAAAGTGAACCCGCTATGATACCAATTGAAAGTTTAAGATTTAGGTAATAATCGGTTAATAAATTAATACTCATAATTATTTATCATCGACGGAGCAGCAAAATTGATTCTAACTGTCTGACGAACTATCGTGCTACGAATTAGCCTATCTCAGTTTAAAAATAATTAATTAATTCTTCAATCTATCTATACTCTAATAATTCACTGGCATGTTCTAACTAGTTCACGACCTACAAAAATTCATTATTTACTAATACAACAATAATAAATCATAATAAAAATATTAACTCGAGTATGAAATGCGTGACGTAATGTGATAAACCCCTAAGGGAACATCCATGAACCCCATGTCACGAGTAAAAATCTATTATATAGGAAAAAGGATACCGTCATCTCAAGTAACTTTGATTTTACAAACTAAAATTAAAAGTAAATCAAATCAAATCAAGAACTAATAAATTCCCTCATTTTTAGCTTTCTTAGCCCCTGTTTGATGTAGATAAAAATCATATTTTAGTATAAGTTTATAAAAGTTGATGAAATGTATGATTAAAAAGTTCGAATTTCATGACATTGACTAAGATTTATATCAAAATTTTAAGCTACACCAAACAGAGGCTTAATTTGTTGAGAAGTGGAACTAAGCCAACGAATTTGTTCTTCCGTTGATAAGTGCGTTTTTGCGCACTTAATTATAACATAAAATATTATTGATTGTTGATATAAATACTCGAAAATGACTTAATTCGATATAAATTATTTTTGTAGGACTACTTTTATGGAATGAACGAAATGTACGTGAAAACAAGGCAAAAATGACTAAAATGCAAATCGATGAAAGTTCAGGGACTAAATTGAAATTACTCAAAAGTTGACCCGAATGATGAACCATGCATGGAATTTTACTAAGGAGCTAATTTTCGATTACATGGATGGCTAGAAGTAGATGGAAGGGGAAGCGAGGCCGAAAATGGAAAGAAAGGAACTTTGGGGACTAAAGTGAACAACAAGAAAGTTACCTTCTTCCTTGCGATCGCATGGTAGAATTACCATGCGATCGCCCAGGCATCAACAGGGAACAACTTGGGGCATTCCAGTTGGCCCATGCGATCGCATGGGATCCTTCCTTGCGATTGCATGGAAGGATTTCTGCGCGAAAATTTTTAGTTTCCTTTTCCAATCCAACCACTTGTGGAATGATATCGTGGGACTCTATTTAAATCAAAACTCGTCCAGAGTTAGGGGGAGGCATTCCTAGAGAGAAAAAGACGATTGAAAGGCAAGGAGAAGAGTTAGAACTAGGGTTTTCACTTCAAGATTCAAGCTTCAACTCTAGTTCTTTGGTGATGTTTTCTATTTATTACTTCTATTATTCTTTTATTTTCTCTATGTTAGGTTAGGTTTCTTTTTATACTAGGTGAACGATGAATCTCGCATTATGATCTTTTAATTTCTATTTTGCAATTTGACATTTAAACACGTTTGATGGCTATTGAATGATTTATATACACTTTTTGTCTCCATGATTATAGTGCACGATAATTGTGTGAGTTTATCGTGGGCGTGAACAGTACAAGCCGACGAGCCGCTCGGCTCGATTGACACCACTAAAAAAGCATCAATATTTAGACCATCCATATTCCAATGAATATCAAGAGAAGATTTATCACGTTTATTATCACTGAGTGATATCCGACCAAGCTTAGTAGCAACTAGACACTTGTATCAATTGATTTGAGAAAAAAAACCTGATTAGAATTTTCTAATGTTCGTAGTTGATACAAAAAAAAAAAGGTCTATAAAAAATTCTTATAAAATCCATTACCTAAATTTTCTGATCTCAATTATAAGAAAGTGAACCCGCTATGATACCAATTGAAAGTTTAAGATCTAGGTAATAATCGGTTAATAAATTAATACTCATAATTATTTATCATCGACGGAGCAGCAAAATTGGTTCTAACTGTCCGACGAACTATCGTGATACTAATTAACCTACCTCAGTTAATTAATTAATTCCTCAATCTATCTATACTCTAATAATTCACTAGCATGTTCTAATTAGTTCACGACCTACAAAAATTCATGATTTACTAATACAACAATAATAAATCATAATAAAAATATCAACTCGAGAATGTGATAAACCCCCAAGGGAACATCCATGAACCCCGTGTCACGGGTAAAAATCTATTATATAGGAAAAAGGATACCATCATCTCAACCAACTTTGATTTTACAAACTAAAATTAAAAGTAAATCAAATCAAATCAAATCAAGAACTAATAAATTCCCTCATTTTTAGCTTTCTTAGCCCCTGTTTGGTGTAGATAAAAATCATATTTTAGTATATGTTTATAAAAGTTGATGAAATGTATGATTAAAAAGTTTGAATTTCATGACTTTGACTTAGATTTATATCAAAATTTTAAGCTACACCAAACAGAGGCTTAATTTGTTCAGAAGTGGAACTAAGCCAACGAATTTGTTCTACCGTCGCTCCTATTATTGAACCTCATTTTTATTTTAATTCCGAAATGCTTTCTCTATATATGAATTTTGCTTGCTCTTTAAGAATGAAGGCATTCAATCCCATTTGAAGTGACAAAAATTGCCAGTAACCAGAGTCGTCTACTTGTGAACGATCCGTATACTTGCAGTGATTTTTATTGGAAACATATTTTCGTGACCAACCGTCGCTCCTATTATTGAACCTGGAATTCACCACAAATCAGAATAAGAACCTCATTTTTATTTTAATTCCGAAATGCTTTCTCTATACATGAATTTTGCTTGCTCTTTAAGAATGAAGGCATTCAATCCCATTTGAAGTGACAAAAATTGCCAGTAACCAGAGTCGTCACTCTTTCTTTCTTTCTTTCTTTTCTTTTCTTTTCCTTTTTTTTTTTTCCTGGAAATTTTTTTACCTTTTGTGGTTCAAGGCGTTCAATTATTTTCTTGGAGTCCTCTCTTAATTAAAGGAGATGACCCCTAAGAAAATAGGACTCCTACCTAATATATCCTGTTGAAAAGAAGTTTTGATCACACTAAATTTATAATTATAGATAATCTTTTAAATTGATAAGGAAATTATAAATAATGTCCAATAAATCTTGGATTCCTTAATGTTTTCCTTCCCTAATAAAAATATACAAATGAAAAGGAATCTATCATAATCTCGAAGAGTGATAATCTAGAAATTTTGGAATCCTCGTCCAGTTCACAACACGTGAACTCACTGAGCCTTATAGTTTACCTTATACGTGAACTTATTTGAGCTACGAGTTCATTGATGAGTCTCAACATATGAATTTATGGAGTCATGAGTTCAATTCTGAACGTATGGGCTTATTGAATCACGAGTTCACTAGTGAAAAAATTGTCCAATCCCTATTTCATATATATCAGTTTTTGTAATGAAATAGAAAGAAGAAGAAAGGAGAATGAATAAGTTCATAGACTCGTATGTATTTTATTAAGAACCAGCGTCTCATATTTACAAGAAAGAATTAGGGTTAAAATGGTAATCATAACTAGGGTTACAATGATATAATTGTCATTCGCTAATATGAGTTGAGCATCACCGAATCCAATCACTCTAATCAAGTCCCTTTGCTGTGGAAACGAAAAGAATTGCATCATAATTGAATATTTAGTTTAATATTTTATTTATTTATGCTATTCCAATATATATGTTATTTTTCATTCGACAATCTGTTGCGACAGGCAAAAAACAAACTACACGAACAGTGGCGTCATGCCATAATATTATCGACCTCATAACATCGAGACACGACATAATAAGAAAGATGTCTCATAGATTAAAAAGAAACGAGAAAAATCCCACAGCAAATAATCATATGGCCGCCGTACATATTGTAAAGTTACATACAATCAAACTCTACTTAGGAAAACAAGGTAATCTTCACAAGAAAAAAGAAACAAATAAATAATTAAGTAATCCACATACCAACATGGCAAATTTACAAGAAACCTCACTTCGTTTCTGGCGCTTTTCAACAAAAAACAGACTTCTTCAAAGCATGCTTCTGTGTTACTTTTCTGCATGGGACAATTCGATGGAATAATACAAGGCAGCTCCTCCATCACAAATGCCAAACTTAGAAATTGTCAAATACCATTTACTTTGCATCGCTGAGTGTTTTATCACCTCCGCCACTTGCGATCTAAAAAAAGTAGGATTCAAGCAGTAAGCAAATGGGTTCATGCAGAACGATCAATTTTAGCCAATACAAAAATTAGTTTAACATGAAAATTGAAAACCACAAACAATAAACTCAGGTCACAAATGCAAAGTTGAAACCGATGTCAGCCGGACAGAATTTTTTTTGTTCATCATCCAACACTCCCCAGTAGTACCCTCAGACACGAATGCATTTCCTACAATATTACATTTGTCTTCCATCCATGCTATCGATTGACAATGCTACAATGTGAGTAGCTGGAGTTTTTCACATCTATATCAAAACCTCTAGTGCATGAACTAGTAATGGGATTGAGGTAGTGTTACAAAAATGCAAAAGCAGACACGCTTGATGACGACTTGTCAACAATTTTAAAGTGTTCTCATGTGTTTGATTTCTAAGAAATTAATGGGAAAACAGCTCAGATCTTCTAGATAAGCACTTATTCTTTGTGCATGGATATTAGATAGCAGTGGTGATATTATGTATTCACTTGTTAGATTTATTTGCAAACTTGCAAGTGAATCCAAATACCCAAGTCATATCACGGAAAAGGTCTACAATCCTCTTGATAAATTATGAAATGTTAGACAATACTGCTGCAAACATATGAAGATATTACACCTTAGATTCATGTACTTTGCTGGATTTCTATATGCGCAGCCCTAACAATTTCTAGGCAGTGACCAATTAGAGTCTAGTATTAGAAGAGGACTTTAAAGCATGAAGGCAATTGATTCACTGTGTGACTTCATGCATGAAAAGAAAAAGATGGAAATTTAGACAATACCTTGAGGAGAATGCATTTCATTCCCCTTTGTACCCTGCTGTGTCTGAGACATAGAGCGCTCAATGCGCGGTGATCCCTGTCTTCCATTCGTGCCAGGTAGGGAGTGTCTCTTTTTTACGTAAATATCCTTGTCTTGTACATCTGGACTTGACCTTGGGGAGCTATTGGTAATAGCTTTAGCTCTTGCAGACTCCGTTGCTTGCATGTAACTTGGTACAGAATTACTGCTACCACTATCTCTTGGTTCTTGGTCAACATTATCTGGTTTAGTTGCAACATAGGAGTTTCGCCTCTTTCCAGTTTTATGATCCTTAGGTAACTGTTCCAAGCTACTTCTTGCACCAGAATCTAGATTACGATTTGAAGGGGATCTTTTATCCACAGATGATGACCTACTTTTCCAATTGGATTCACTTTTTGCACTTCTGGTTTTCCTGGGTTTCACAGATGTCTGGCTAGAAGGTGTTGCATGAGATTCAGAGACAGTAATATGACTTCTTGGAGAAGCTTCAGGCGACAACTTATATGCCGGATGGCTAGCCTCAGATTCCAGCTCCAGATTCACGTCATTTGGATCTGTATCTTGCTTCTCTTTTGCCTGTGATGAATCTGCAGCATTCGTGGACTTACCACTTTCACCATTGGCATGGTTAGTGCTGTCAAGCCTCTCAGACTGATCTGATTTGGTATATGATAAATCAGTTGCTGGAATACTGGACTTGCCATTAATTTCAACTCCCACATTCTCATTGATTTCTGGATGGTCAATCACATCTGAAAATTTATGTCCCTGTTCAGATTCAATGGCTCCAACCTCAGACCTATCTGGTGAATCAAGAGTTGAAGAAATGGAAAGTTCAGTCCCACATTCAGAGCCACCAATTTGAAGAACTGAAGCATGAGAAACAGAATTATCAGCCGAGTCCATCTCCCTAGACCCAATTGTTTGATCAGTTACAGAAAAAGTCTTATCTGCTTTAGGTTCAACTCCATGATGTTGATTGGACAGACTTGTTAACTTAGCCGAACTGGTGGATGAACTCAGTTCCTCGAATTTTGACTGAGCAGCAATAAATGCAGGATTACTGGCCTTCCTTGAACTGAATGTCAACTTCTTTACATCAGTTTCAGGTTGCTCAGGGGGGAACCTTTTTGCAGCAAGCATATCTTCATTTGCTGTTTCAGCCTTCCCTGGAAAAGATATGTGTTCCACTTCCGAAATTAAATCTGATTCTTTATTCTGAATAGGAAGAGACTCCGACATATTATATCTTGAATTAGATTCATCAATGTTATGGAACTGAGACTGCACACGTATATGACTCAAGGAAGGTGAAGTTGATATGTTCGCTTGGAGGTCCAAGTTTTCTGCATCGTAAGTGATCAAACTGTCATCATTTTCAGACGTCCCAGATGATGCTCGTACATCAGACATCAAATCTTTTGGCTCGGAATAACTTTCAGATGGAACTACGATTTCCACTTGGGCAACAGAACACCCACGGTCGTCCTTCTCCAGCTTCTCTGCAGCCAATCCTGATTCATGTGTCTCTTCACTGCTCATTGATGAAACAGACATCCATCTCTCCAACCATTTCCAGGTCACGTCAGATTTTGAAGGATCACACTTGATATTGATAGTTTTTGTCCGTGGTATCGATTCCATAAGCTTACATCATAAAAATAAATGCAAGTCAACAATTAGAAAAATTAACTACTAATTGGTAGGTAAATGAACTGTTGTACTTCAGAACAAAACAACAGAAACATGTTAGATAATTTACCTGACGAGCAAATCTGTTGCGTAGTAGTTTCTCATTTGAAGTATATGTGACAGGTCTATCTTCTCCTTTACTCCCCTGAAAATAAAGAAAGGATCAAACTAAACAACCCGCTACTGCAAAAAAAAAAAAATCGCTACTTGCGAGTACAAGAAAAGCTAATCAGTTAACGATAATAAATTTTTGGTCCTGCTCCACATGAAGCAATCACTAAATAGACATGAGAGATAAAATTATTAATGTTTTCGTTGTCATGGGAGGATGTTGAAAACTATCCAGATAATTAAATGGAATGCCACTACCAAGAGTTTTGGAATGTGACCATCATTCCCATGTTTATTCTTTTCCTTCTCTAAAGACCCTTCTACAAGCTGACGAGCATGACGTGCTCGAACAAGAATCTGCATCTTGATAATGGCTTGGACACACCGAAGAGTTCCCACAGCATGTTGCCGAACTAAATGTCCTCGTACAGCAGCTTGCAATTTAATTATGTTCTTGTGCTTGAGTAGTAGTTTCCGAGCCTGGTATAACATAAGAAGAAAATATCTAGAATTAGTAGTTTGTGTACTCAACAAAGCTTGAATCATAAAATGGTAAAATGGCATACCAGAAATCCCCTAATAGCAGCCTGGATAGCAATAATGGTGGACTCCTCTGGGGTCCCTTTGACAGCAGTGTTTTCTTCTCTGACAGGTATGGCGTCTGATAGTTTTGAGCTCACTTGAGCTGGCAAGTCAATTTTTTCATCGGTCAATTGAATTGAAGAAGTTTTTTCTGGAGAAGTCAAGTTAGGTTGTGACTGGAAGCTGACAGTGGCAGATTCCGAGCTTGCTTTGTTCAAGGAGGGTGCTCCTGAGATAACAGTAGTGTTCAGAACTTGATGTCTAGCAGATTTCTTCCGGAAACTCCATCCACGTCTATCGCTTGAATCCTGGCTCTGAAATCGGAATCAAATAACTTCAACAAAACTGATGCCAATGCCAACTCAAATTCAAAATTCTAGTTACATAATTAAATTTAGTAAAGATGCTAAGGAGAAAAACTTGGGCTACTTTTTTAAAGAGAAATGGATAATTACATATACGCACAACAGGATTGAGCTCATAGCACATAAAGAACGACAATGGAGTAACATGGAACATACTTGCCAGAATACATTTGAAACTAAATTGCACTAAATGCACAGACATGTCATACGCTCATTGAAGGTGTGGAATACAAACAAGTATACATGATTTTAGTCAAATATATGTAGGCATGACAAACCACGGGTAGAAAAGGTGCATGAAATATCATACAGTATTATTATAAGATCTTACGTATGCACTGTGGCCATGATTCATGCACCATCGGACTTGAACACTAACGTTTATTTTAGAGGCAAAATATGCACTAGATATTTAGTCTATAGTCTCATTTAAATCACATGGCAAGTCTTCACTTTAAGACAGCAAGCAAAAATCATTAAGAAAAGCATCAAACTCAACCAACTCTGGATCTACTGTTTTTTCAAAAAATTTAAAAAGACTTATATTTAAATTAGACGGCATGTGATAAATAGTCAATACCTTGGGTAAAATTATGTATAATTAATCTCTATCTTTTCCATGTAGAAATATCAGTATGTGCAGCTAAATTACTAAACACTGCAGTTCACACTCTTCACTACTTAGATCTCATCATTTGTTCTGGTTGATGTCGAGCATGCGAAATGACCTAAAATAATGTTGAACGTCATCAATTATGAAGAATTTTCAAGAGGATAATGTTGTTACATAACTTAATAATTAGCAAGCAGACCGCGCTTTTGATACTAATACTCAAAAATTTCTCTAATAATTAAAAACGAATTTAGGGAATTTTCTTATTTCCATATACCTAAAAAATTTCTGATACCAACAATTACAATTTTTCCTTAAAAACATATTTTGTTTCTTGTTATTTGAAAGTAAATTCCTCTCTCTCATTCTGTAAGAGTTTATTTTTATGTTAACTTGCACACTAACTGATATAAAAGTATGGTATTTATATTAAAAATAAAAAAAATGGGCATAGAGTTGTTGGCTACATGATATCATGCACTTTTATGTTCTAATTTTGATTTTACTTGGTAGAATCTATAATGATACTGAAATTAGACAGAACTCAACACCAGATAAACTGTACATGACGTTGACCTGGCTACTTATGAATGGTATCAAGGAGGTGGGGGAAAATCCCATTCAACAAACACTGGCGATCTAGGCGCTTACTTGAGCACAAGTAGATAGGAGTCGCCATCAACACGACCATGAATGAAAGACACATGTTTAGGAGGGGAGCAAAATCCCATGATCAAATTTGAAGGAACTCGTAGACGAGCAACTGAGAGTTTCTTGACCTTGTGGTCAATCAATGAGCTGTCATATTGCCTCGTGCCCTCAAACTATTGATTGATAATTACCCAGACTCCAATCAGACCGACTAGAGAAGTCACGTGTGCAGAAGGCCAACAGCGCACTAACAGGTCAACCACAATGAAACCTCTTGACACCGAGGCATTAAAGGATCTGTCCAATGTTTTTAACTGCTACCATATGGTGAACACCACTTCCTATATTCCCTCTGGGGATCAAGCAGCGGATATGACACCTTTTGTATCCATAGACAACTAATTCCATGACACATCATCAGGAGAATTGTCTATATATTAGTCACCCCACTCCTACAGGTATCTTCTTGAAACCTCGATCTTTTCAACCTTTATATTGAAACTCCTCCATATGCTCCACTGACTAATCATTGGAGTCCCATAAAGGGAAATAGCCTTTTCAGGTACCGGAAGTTTCTATCGGCCGTCATCTTTAGGCACCGGGAGCTTCAGGTATCATCACATAACATTGTTATTGTTACGTATGTACAGTTCTTATTTTTCATTATAACATTCAGCCTATGTATGGCTTATGTTTATAAACTGTTTATAAACACTCCAGCCATGTTTTATCCACACATTTCAAAGTACCCACGAGTTCTATCGGCTTATCCACCAATCATTTTTATTTATTTATAATTTAAACCATTTATAATCACTTCCCAAACATGCTCTCAAATTTATTGATGGTGTGGATCTGTTTTTCCTGTAATCCAAAAATCTTTTGGTTAATTAAATTGTACCTTGGTATCTAACTATTTATATGGGATCTTAGGAACTGAAGATACATTTACAAGGAAAGTGAATATAGTGATTCCTGCATTAGAATTAAGTGCACTAAACCCTAAAATGAATATCTCTAATATCTAAATTTTTTCTAGCCCACTGATTATATACCTTAAGTCGAGTGCAGGCATAGAACATTTTTCCAACACCAAAGTATATACATACATTATTGGTATCGTTCACATATGCCATAATCTTATTACTGATTACAATGACTGAGTTGAGGCAATAAGGAAGCATATCATCATGAATACCTAGCTTCCATAATCCACTAGAGCAACAAACTTGAATGACTCAAATCACAATTGTGCTAAACCAACCTTTGGAATGAACGTTCATTCTTAAGCACTATTCCATGTGAAATTATACTCCCATTTATTTATCAAAATAGGTTAAACTTTTCATTTATCTAGTCCAAAGAATAGGAACCAAAGAAAAGCAACTCAACATAACTAAATCTGACACTTCTGAATACGCTCTTCACAAGGAACCAGGTCAAAAAGAGCTTCCCAAAAGCACTAATAGAACTTTGAAACATATTGAATGATCGATGCGAGAATGTGCTAATCTGAATTAAATTAATACGAGTAAGTTTTTTCTAGAAATGAGAGCCAATTTACATGAAGAAAACACAGGGTAATTTTGAAATATTAGGTTCAAAGATCTGATTTTTATTTAATCCCAACAGAATGTTCCACTCTCGCTTGAACATAAAGTAAAAACGGCCATAACAAAGCTGCATTTTGGTACCATTATTTCAAATTTCAATTTATACAGCAAGGCCACATTGTTTTGTACAATGACTTTTAAATTAGTATCATCTATGTATTAAAGCCAGGAAGTGACAGGGGAGCAAAAGATGCCATCTTATAAAGCGCACAAACAAAAGATTCTAACTTTATAAATTTCATCATTTGGAGCTTTTCTTTCTTTGGACACACAAGAAATCATCCAGATCAAACCCATAATCTTCTATATTTGGGAAACTCGACAATTTTGATGAAGTTTCAGATCAAATATATATATAGATACCCATAAATAGATTTATCAAAGATATCATACTCGCGCTTCAAAAATCACAGAAAAACAAACAAATATGCATTTTCTACTAATCCTAACAAAACAACAAATTAATCTAGCTACTCTATTCCCAAATATAGATACAACCAGATGCATTAATAACCACAGCAATTCTACATCTAAAAAAATCAAAATGCAGATAAAGAAAGTAAACAAACAGAAATGTAATGCGCAGATTTTGTTAAATCAGAGTCGAATCACAAAAAAAATAAGAAAGAAAGAAAGAAAAGCCAAAAGGAAACCGAGAAGAGATATCCATATATAATTTGACATAGATATAGTCCATATATACATCTGTTGCTTGGAGATCGTCACGGTCGACTGGATCACTGCCGCAGGTGATGATCTTGAGGCATGAAGATGCACCCGATCTTCCCATTCTTTCACCCCCACTCTACTTCTCACTCTAGAATAGTGTTACAGTAGTACCGGGTTACTGCCTGTTTTTATTGGTATAGGAAATTGCACCGGATAAAATAAGGGCAGTTTTGGGAACATGGACCTCAACACTTTCCTTAAATCTAGTTCAATCGCGTATTTCAAGTCCGGGTATATAGCATCTGCGTTTCAGTATTAGAGCCGTCTCAAAAACAAAACAAATAAATAAGAAAAGAAAAAGTATTAATGAAGTGGTTTTAATCTGTTGTATCATAATGACTTGTAATTATTTGCTAATTAAAAGCAGCCTAGTCTTAATGTTGCTACCTCAACTAAGATACAATCAGCATAGTACAATGACAACAATAATTAGTAATTATATTAGCTATAAGTACCGTAATCTACGAACTATGGTTCAAAACTCGATCAAAAATCAATGGTTCAATAATTTTTTTCACATGCATAGGGAACAATAATTAATCAATGATAAATACTCAATGTGCTAAAATTTAAGAACGCTGTAAAAAGTTACGTTGAAACTATAGTTTATAAATATTAAAGAGTCAAACTAACTCGACCTATTAGTTAACTTCATATGTTAACAGACAAGTTTGGTGATGTTGGGAGAACGTTGTTGCAAGACTCGAAGTTGACTTCCTAAAAAGGAAATTCTTTGTTACTTCACTTGAAACCAATTAGAGTTACTAAATTCAAACAAGAGAAAGTAAAGATACGTGACAAAAGAAATGGTGGCTAGCGAGCCGAGCAACAAAATACTCTTTTGAGCTTGCTCTTAAATTGTGAATGAAATGTAACTTTCATCAAAAAATAATGAGTCAAGTGGGGTGACCCGATCCCATATTTAGTGAAGTCGGTCAGCTCGCGATTGTTTCCCCCACAAACGAGTACGAACAGACTTGCATCGTGTGTCGAGTAAGCCCCATAGTGGAGGAGTCAAAATTGAGTCCACATTCTAGTGGAGCAAGCCAGCTCACGCTTGGCTCATCTCATAAGCTAGCACGAGTCAGCTCACATGATGGGTAGCTTTGATCACCTCAGCTCAACCCAATCTATTTAACACCCCTTCACCTTATACACATATTTGATAGAAGGCGTTGAGCAATTAAGTTAGCTATTCTTCGTAAAATTCTATTGCACATCTTCAGGCTAATTGAAAGGGCAACATCATCACGACAAAACCAACATTTCTAAATTTTGCAAAGACAATAATTTCACATGACTATAATCTTTATTATTTTTTCTTATTCTGTATTAAACGCGAGAAAATCATTTGATCTTATTCCTCTTCCATCCTCTCTCTCTCTTCTATTTTAGAAATATCTTTAGTAATTTAAAAAAACTTCTACTATCAGTCAAAATTAAACTTTAATTTCAACCACACATTCGAAATTAATACACATTATTATCCACACAGTATGTTATCCAAGTCACTAATCCTCTTAAAATTTACTAAGGGCTTATTTGATAGGTCATTTTTTTCCATAGAAAATAGAATTGAAATTCCATTTTCCACTTTTACCATATTTGATGGCACTTTTTTTCCCAAAAAATTGATTTTCTACATTTGTCATCATGTGACCCATTTTATTGGTTTTAGTTGAATTTCAATTCCCACCTTTTAGGTGGTTTTTGGTTTTTCATTTTTTTTATTTTTTAAAACCCCTTTAATTGACAATTTCCATGTAAAACAAAACCAAATAAACATAAAAAAATTTCCAATTTTTTTTTTTGGTAATCCAAACAAATTATATCCCCAATTATAAGAAATTTTATCCATTTAATTGACAATTTTCATGCAAAACGAACACCAAAAGATAGAAAATTTCAACATTTTTCAGGTGAAAAATTATACAAATCAAATACAATTAATTGAGAATTCCAATAAAACAAGTTATAGACAATTCAATTCCGTACAATTCGTTTTGTTTCCACCCAAATTCCATCTTTGATTCAAACGGACCATAATAATAAAATCCAAATGCATGCACACTTGTCTAAAAGGTGCAAGATTGATAATAAGAAGTTTAAAGAAAAATATAAAAATAAATCATATAATTTTGGTTAACTGTTTAACATAAGAAACTTTAAATTGGGAATTAAGAGCAAGTTTTGCTATGCCTTCAAAGTTCACTTCTAGTAAGTTGGGTGATAGCTAACAACATTTTTGCCAAGTTTTAGAAGTGTTTATTCTGCTTTAACTTATTATAGACGATGAATTATGTTCAATATGATTGAACTTTGTTTCTACTAGCGAAAGAACATTTGCTCGCATATAAAAATGAAAATAGTTTGGAATGCTGTTCAGTTTACTTTATTATAAATTCTTATTGATTGAAGTTGTAAATTAAAAAAATTCTTACATATACAATAAATTACTGTGAAAAAAAATAAAAAAATCTACAATATGATTAATCTATTTTGGTCCTAGGTGGACCCCGTCCAAGTACCATTAACCAACGGGTCAGACAAAACGGGGTTGTCTAATAACGTTGTTCCTCGTGTACCATCCACCAATTATGTCGTTGACACCAATTTTGTCTTCATTTTCCACCTGTCAGACAATGGGACCCACACTTGAGAAGGCACATGAATCCAATTATTATTGGATTAATGTTTTGTGCAACTGTAATGTGCGTTGCCGTGCCGGTGTCCGTGCCTGTCATATATAAAATTAGGGGGTGTGAAGAAGGATAAATCGAGCCGTTCAATTCAGTTAGTCAACGAGTCAATTCGCTCAACCAAAGTGTAATTTGATTCTTCCCACAAGACTCTCGCTGCTCGTCTATGTTTTTTTAATTAAAAAATTTTCACTCACGAGTCAGCTCAACTCGCACCACTTTTCACCCCTCTATGGAATGCTTTAACAAGTGAATAAATGACACAAGGTAAAGATAATTGAATGAAAAAAATTCAAAAGCCTATTGACTTGTAAATTGATTGTACTTGATATAATAAATTGTACGTAACACATCATTAATTTTCTTTTCTTTTTTTTCTAATATTTCGAGTTAAAACTCTAGTCTAATCAACAATACCGTACCATGAAGTTGTGTAGTGTAATATTACCTTTTATGTAATAAACTGTACAAAACACATCATTAATTTTCTTTTTTCTAATATTTCGAGCTAAAACTTTAGTCTAATCAACGATACCATACCATAAACAAGAAGTCACATCAAATGATTTTGATGACTCAATGGTGTGAAAATGCAGTCTCTATCATGGGAGGGGAGGATCCAAGGCCAGAACACGAATATGCCCAATCAATCATTAATTATATAGTATTCAAATTTACCATTGTACATGTAATGAAATGCACATACCTTGTAGTAAAAAGGTAACATGGCAATAATAATTCAATCAAATAAGTTATGTTGATAACGTTTCTATAATAATGTTCCTCTCATATTCTATTAGTTGTGAGGTCTCTCCCCCTTTTCTTGCTTTGCTTTTAATAAATGATTGTATGACCCATTCTTAATATAACATCAAAATGTTGCAAAGAATCGTATAATTTTGTTGAAAAGTTAGGAATGTCAAAATGAAAACTTTGAGCACGGCTCAAGCAAGGCTCGGTTAAGTAAAGGCTGTCCTTGTGGGTCAGTCCATGCTACCCTATATCTTCATTTATATGTAAAAAAAATTAACATTCCACCGTGCTGAAACTGATCATTGAGAACAGAATGTCACAATGAAGCCTATAATATTACTTATAAGTGGAAATTGGGCATTTAGGGGATTGGCCTCTGAATTGAACATTAACAAAGTGTGGAGCCTCCATTCACATGGAAAAAGCATAAAATACAAATTGATGCAAAGTTCCTTTCACTCTTTTTCTCAATAGAAATTATCACAATTACAAGCAAGTTGAAGCAGCAAGATCATGAGGTTTCTAGCCTTTTTTACAAGCATGCTTACAAGTGGAATTCTGCCACCAGAACATGTCTAAAAGGTCCACCCCTTGAATAATAATAACAAAAGAACAAGGGCAAAAAGTTCGTAAAATAATAATCTCCGGGCACATGGCCGGGAGACTTAGGCATAGCACGCCCCACATTACTGGCCGCATGGCCGAGAGACTTCGGCCTAGCACATCCGACTCTGGCCTCGGCCTAACCCATCTTTACATTCCTAAACACTACATATCCTTAGGACCCATGTTTTTGATCAAACATCAAGATCTATCCAATATAATGACAAGACAATGCAACAACTATAAAGGGAAAAATTCATAAATAAGGTGTATACTTTACATCAATTCAAAAATCAAGTTTATAGTTTGAAAATTCAAAAATCACGTTTTGTTTTATTTTTTTATTTATAAAACAATAAATTATTAAATCAATTTATTATTAAATATTTAATTCTAATATAATATAATTAACGTATCCCACATACACCATCCATACCGTTCCGGGGACTATTCTAACCACCACTCTTTTCCGAGGATCGTTTCGACAACTGCTCCGATTCCGGCGACCATTCCGGTCGCAAATTTACAATTTAATTAGTCACAAATTATTTTACGGTCACATTTCAAAAATTTTGTAGGTCACAATTAATTTGTTGGTCATAGATTTCAAAAGTAGTTGGTCACAAATCAAAATTTATAGGTCACATAGTCACAGATTTTTAAATTAGTTGGTCACAAATTTTTTCACGGTCACAGATTATATAATTTGCAGGTCACAGATAACAAAATGGTTGGTCACAGATTATATTTTTAGTCACAGATTACCGAATTGTAAGGTCAAAGATAATATTTTTACTCACAAAATCAAAATCGCCAAATCCCCCAGATCCCCCACCAGCACCACCGTCGACTGCCACCACCATTGTCAACTCACCACACACCTTATCTGGTCAAATACCACACCACCATCTCACAGCATCCATCTGAAAAAAGTCCCCAACTCCACACCACTACAGAACTCACACAAATTAGCGCACATGCGCCACAAATCGGCCACCTCCACCACCTGCACGGCTGCACCAACAACCATCATTACCATCGCACCAGAGTTAAATTTGTAGTAGGAGATTCGAGTAATTTGAGGGTGAAAGATGGCGAGTAGGCTTGGGGAATCGACAAACAGGGAGCCCCCAAACCCAGATGCTGGACATTTCGAGTATAATATTTGCTTCGACTTGGTTCAGGACCCGATTGTCACACGATGCGGTCACCTCTTTTACTGGCCTTGCCTTCGCACCAACGACTATCGTTACCGTACACATCATAACAACACAATCGACTACACCATCTTGACCCAACTGGCGTGGCCGCACAGCGTAGCCCAGCTATACCATCTTAACCCGATCGCCTTCATCATGCCGTCGTCGACTCAAATTTGCGTTGGGCGATGCTCTAAACACTGTGTGCAGCGACGAACAGAGCTGCTGTGCTTTGCCGCCGCACGTGAAGATGAGCTTCGCCCATCGCGATGATTGGAAGAAGATGGCGACGATCTAGTAGCGGCACTTGTGGGAGGGGAGAGAGTGTGTATTGGCCGGTGCAGCTCCGTCGTCGGTTGCCGGAGTTTCAACGGGTGGCAGGGCAGAGGGAAAAGAAAGGAGAGAAGCAAAGAGAAAATGGGAAATAGAGAGAGAGAGAGAGAGAGAGAGAGAATTGAAATTATTAGGGTTTGTAGGGTGGATAATATTTAATTATAGATACCTGATTTATGCATAATGAAACTTTAGCCCTGATTTTTGAATTACGAAATTTAAATACCTGGAATTATGTAATTTCATCAACTATAAATTCATTATTCATTATGTTCATAAATAAGATCTCATATGACTAGGTATTTCGAAACCACAACTACTGTAAATTGACATAATAAATAAGATGTTCCATTTGAGTTAAGAAAATACTCACCTTGTTTCATTTGAATTAAGAGAATATTAACCTTGTTTTCACAATAAAATTATGTAACGACGTGACTCTAGGGATGTCAAATTGGTTCTCCGGCTCGCGCGGCCTGTGGCTCAACTCGGAAAAAGCTCGAGCCGGCCCGGCTCGCAACTCGATTCAACTGAGTTGAGGCTCGAGCCATGTGGCTCCAATGGGCTAGCTCGTGTCACGATGCAACGTGTGTCAGGCAGACACAAACTGCCTTGCACAAGCAACAAGTGGCCGCAAACGCAACCTGCCAGGTTTTTAAAAAAAATAAATATCTTCAGCCGACTCAACTCAGCTAGATAAGACCCAAGCCAAAAACTCAGGTCAAGCGTAGATTTTTTGGCTAAGCAAAAGCTCGCCTCGGGCCAAAAAATGCTCGAATCATTTTTACCTGAGCCGGCTCGGCTCGACTCGTTGACATCCTAACGTGACTATGATTTTTAATGTAACATTTCACAAACTAGGGTGTTTCCATAGTGTGAACATATTTCTCAATGTATGGTCACATTTTATTAAATTTTCAACAACGTGTGCTATAGTAAAATTTATAGACGATCTAATATTGTGCACGTATTTTGATCCATTGTGATCCATCTTCAACAATAGAATTTAAATTAGAACAAAGACATCTTCTATGAATTAATTTAACCTAGACTCAAATGATTTAACAAGCTCTTCAAAAAAAACATCATTTTATAAACATCTTTTCAATAATAATGCTAAATATTCTTTACAAGTGCATCTTTATTGTAAAAAATCGACAAACATTGAAAATTAATGAGCGGACATTTTGCAATTCAATTCAAATAACAAAGATTATTTCGTGTATCTGTACAATGAAAAATAACACGACATAATCTTTGTCGTTAAATTCACACTGACACAAACCATAAGGTCAAAGGGCAATGCCACAAACGCTTAAGGGATACTAAACCTTGTTTCAATCAGCTACAAATTATCTAAGGCCAAATATAAGAAAAAAAGTCGAAAAAGTTGAGCATTACACCCTAGCTTAAAGTCTATCTGTAGTTCATAATTTTATAAAACCAATGAATGAACAAAATATTTATTCACTGTGTAAATAAATATAATTATAACTGAGTAAAGATAAAATATATGCTATAACAGATATTGTTATAAATAAGCCCAGAAAACTGTGCAGCTTATCATGAATGGACAAATGTGTACCTAATATTAACTCGAGACTCACCACTCCATGCTTTGAACCCAGACGCCTATGCCGAGGCAGGAGTACTTGTTGTCTGTGTAATGGATTTTGCGACTGACAATCGTTGGATTTGACTTGGCTGCTGATGCTGCATCTGGAAAATGTGATGCTTCATGGGCACCTGATGCGCCATGAAGTTGGACAATCTCTCTTCTTCCCTAAGATCCATATTTGCAAGCTTTAAACGTTGGACTTCTGCAGTAAATGCCTCCTTCAAACATTGAACTTCTGTGGTCAATGCCTCGTGCAGAGCTGCCATTAGGAAAAGTAAAGGATTGTGTCCAATTCCCAGCCCAGAAGAGAGACGATCCAATAGGCAGAAAGAAAAAGTATTAACGATATTATGTTCAAGTGAATCACTCACAATATAGAATGACTAAGAGCATTTTTTACCAAAATTAAGAAAGAAAAAAAAAAAGAGTAAGAGATTTACTATGTTTTAAACATGTTTGGAGGAGTTACTTTTGAGTTTAAAAAAATAGTTATTTAGTATGACAACTACTTATTTTCAACTTCGACCAATATAATATTATTTATTTCAAAACTTAATCTTATTAATAAACTTTTTAAGTTTAGCCAAACATGCCTATCATACAATGCTGGCATACATTAAACTATGACACCGTGAGGCACAGGCTTGAAACTCATGAGCTAGTTGTTTGAACCCTCCACTGCCTTATGGCTCAAAGTTTAGAGCTGGAAGTCCGGTGATGGAGATAGTAGGAGAAATAGGATAATATACTATTCGACTAAGATTAGGTTTGATTATCTACGAATTTGATTGTTGAATATGCTTGTGATGTCTCAGAAGTCCCTTGAAATTAACTTCTATGCAAATATGAAAGGGGAACTAGGGCTTCGATTTATATTAATCAAGAATTACAGTTCTTCCTCTTAAATTTATCTCTTTTTCAGTCTCTTTTTCTTCTCTCCTCTTTCTCTCTTATTTTGTTTCTATTTCCCATGCTAGCTTGCCTGTCTTATCAAAGCACATATCATAAAATCTTGAATGTCTAGCATGTAAAGTTCAATTACATATCAAGTAACTACTATATCAGCAGGCTTTTGGGATAGGCTTGCAAACATGAGTGAGTAATATGGTGCCTTGAACTTTATTACAAGAATTAGAATAATAATTACTTACGAAAAATATACGGAAGAAAAATAATAAACGATAACTAATTATTGGTCCTAATGACAAATATAACACCCCTGCATCCCCCACCCTACCCAAAAAAAAAAAAAGAAAAAAAAAAACCAATACCAAGTTTGGTTAAGCTTAAAAGCTCCTAAACCATGCTTCTCAAAAACGTTCCATTTAAGTAGCTTGTGAGCTTAGCAAAGTTTTTTTAAGGCTCCAAGTATTGTTCCTGATAAATTTGGAAGTAAAAGGAGAAGTGAGGGAAAGGAAACAAAATCTCCTTAAAAGAGATAAGTCCCAATCTTCAATCATGATATTAATATGACAGTGATAAAGTCCACACTATTAGATAAACTAGCGGTATTTGCTTTATCCCATTAAAATGATATAGATTAACCAAATGCTGGAAACACACCATTTGTTTATCAGCTTGTTGAAAAATAAATTTCTTGACGAAATGAAGACACATCAGATAAGCTTCATAAAGTATCTCAGAACTCTGCTGCAAGGCTACTATAACTCATCGCCGGAATGAAATATTCTGAAGTAACAGAGATGTGGTCTTCAGATGTGGAAAGACAACTTCATTCTCAAAGCGAGCACAAGTGTGAGTGACTAGCAAGTGAAGAGAGGGGACAGGGAGTGGAGAGAACTAAATAGGTTCCAACCTACAGAGCATTTTTGTCTAAGCTAAAAAGCTTTCTTATAAGTAATAAAATAAATTCATTCATGAAAAATGAAAAAGGTAACTTATTTTGACAGTGGGGTAAGAGTTACATCGAAACGTGTTTGGAAACAAAAATGTTAAGTTACTTTCACTTATTCTTAAGCTTAGCCATAAATGCTCATAATACACTCAAGTGCTGACGCAATCATGTGATGCAACTAACGTTGCCTGTTTATCTACACAGCTAAAGAGTGTGTATCTGGGTGAAAATCAGTGCATCCCCATATCAATCTATAAAAAGGTAATTATGGAAGAATACTTGGTACCGTCTCTTAGTTGTGCCTGTTGCTCCATGGCTTGAAATCGGAATTTCAATTCATTGTTCTGACTTGTTAGCTCAGCATAGTCTTTCTGAAGAGGAAATACATGTACCAATTACCACGTGATTAAATGTTAATAAATGGCAGAAAATTCTCAAGTTGTTAGCAAAAACCTGTAGTATGGTAACTTGTGCTGACAATGTGGTAGCCTCTGCTTGCAGAGTATGCACTTTGTGCTCCAATTCTGAGATGTAATGCAGTTTCCTCTCCTTCGAACGAGCAGCTGATTGACGATTAGCCAATATCCTGAGATGAAAAGACAAAGTATTGAAATGCACTCAATAAAAAATACTTGATAAAATCAATAATACAGGAAATAATGGTAACTGTCATACCTCTTTGCACGTTGGGGCTCCAAGAAAGCAATTTCAGAAAGCCTCTCGTCTGCCCTAATCTTTATAAGGTCAACTTCACTAAACTGAACATGCCCAAACTCCAAGTTGAGTTTACCAGAGTCTTCAGTCATTGAATTGAATCGAGGTAGCCGACCCGCTGGATTTTCCAAAAAAATTGGCAACTCATCACCAAAATTCAAATTTCCAAGAGCACTATCCATCGAAAGACTCCTGTAGTGTCTGGTTGGAACCGCAATATCGCCAACCGTGATCCTTTTGACATCTTCCCTTGAACTCGCCCCAAGCCTTGAGACGGATCCTGATTCAGTACTGTTGTTGTCACCACCACTCATCTTTGTGCCACAAACGACAATGTCCTTGTCTTTATCCTCAATGCCTGATGGTTCAATGAATCTACACTATCAAACTTCATCCATGAATTAAACAAATCATCTTCCACATCCCCCTCTGATTTCCTATCACCTATCTCCTCTGCATTGCTCCTATTATCATTACTTGTATCCATTTCTCGTCCCTTCAACCCAAAGGGTTTATCATTTCCTAGATTCTCTCTTATATGCATCGTTTTCCCCAATACTGTCTGACCACTTATAGGCACCAACAGAGGTGAAGACTTGATCATAATCGAAAATCCTAATGGAACATCACTACTAGAAAGTTGATGTCCTTTACACAGAAGAAGACCATCACTACCTTGCCACACATTTTTCCTCGGAAAGGATGGAATATGTGGTGGCCCTCGAGTAACATCTGTTTCCTCCATCAAACTGT